CATGTTTAAAAAGTGTGGTTGGTGGAGTTTTGTGGGAAAGGAAAAGCAATAACAAAACACATTGTTCAGATAAAAAAGGAAGATGCTAAGACAAACACATCTAAACTGAAATGGACCAAATTGTCATAGTGTTGTGATAACAAGAGTAAGCAAAAAGAGAAAACCAAATCCAAGCTGCAGTCACGCTCTAACTACACACTCGTCCTGTCACCACTGAAAACACTGTGACGTCAACATGACCTTTGAAAGAACATTTACATCCCGGCCCAGGGCATTGAGCTCCACGCTCCAACCCAACCCAGTCACCCGAGAGGAATTACCCTCCAACACCTGCCTGCCTCTTTGACTGTTTATACCTTGTTTGCATACCTTTCTGTCTGTCTGTCTCCTGTGTGTCCGTCAGGCTGCTAAGATGCTCAAAATCAGACTCTTGTCTTGTTTGTGGCTTCTTCTCTAACAATCTGTTGCAGGGAAACATAGCCACTGCTGAGCATCTCATCATCATCATCATCAGCTGTCGCCTCGCAGCATCTGCACGTCTTCCTGTGTGTCTGTGTGCAGTGTCTCTACACACCTGCATTACCCAACACTTACAAACCATCATTATATCAATTACCTTCAACACCTGCCTGCCTACCTGTCTGTCTGCCAGCTGACCTGTGTTATGCAAATCCTCCATGTTGTCTATCTCTCAGGACCAGTTTGTCTTCGGACTGTCAGGAAACAGGAGCTGAAGGGAGAAAAACTCAGGGAGAAGATGCAAATAAGAAGAATGCTGGGTAGAATTTACAAAAGATGTAAACATCCAGCTGAAGACAATTGGCCGCCCAAAAAATACAAAATACTGATAATGCAATGAGAAACCTTTCATTAACAATTTACATGGTATTATTTTGGACTTTTCCTAGAGTTTGTTTACAGATTGTTCTGTAAGAACTGAGGAACCGGGATAGATTTTATAAAATAGACAACATGTCCCTGATATGAAGACTGCCATCTTGAACCGAAGACGAGATTTGCGTGTGTGATAGCGACCAGGAAAATGGAGCTGCTGTATATTTTACAGCGTAAAAGAAGTAATCAAACCCAAACTTGCTGGAAAATAAACACTTGAACAAACATCAGTGTGAGTTTGGTCCATGACTCAACCATAAACATTAAGAAGCCAACAGGGGGCAATCAAGACACTTTGGCCACACATTTGGGGAGCTAACATGTCATTCATTTTTATAAACAGTCTGTGATTGAGATACACTCAGGTCTGGTATTTTGAGCAGTTGTAGTTGCAGCCAGTGATTGTTTATCCACTTGTGAACATAGTCACTTATACAGTTTGACTCTCTTCTCCACTTTCCCGCTCTCTCTCTGTCTCCTCTCACTTGTACCATGTATCATCCCAAACTAAACAGCCCCAATACACTTGACACACCCTCTGCCATGTTTGACTCTTAGGTAAACGGTTCAATTTCCCTGTAAATTTGTTTGCACTCACTGCACTGTTGCCAAGTGCACTAAAAGCCATTAGATGCTGTGCAGGTTGGATCGGCAGCACAAATAGAGTTTACTATCTAGAGTAAGCAGACCAGATTTGTGTAAGGAGACGTAGTCCTGTGGTTAAGTTGGAGGAATTGTAGAGGTTCCTATGGGAATGGCAGTGAAGCTTCTGTCTTACTTCATCACTTAAAGGAAGAAATCTTTTCATTCTGCAAATTGTCTGAGCTTTTATGTGTTATTTGAAGTACCGGAGTGGGAGGGATCTTTGGAACTCTGTTGTGACTCGTCAGACGACAGAGTGGATGTTCTTTTAGGCTGAACGGATCATTTAATCAGTTGGATAAATGATTCATGAAACAAGAGGAAATTCAATTAATATATGTCCATCCATTATCTATACCATTTATTCTTGAGGGTCTTGTGGGGGGAGCTGGAGCCAATCCCAGCTGACATTGAGCGAGAGGCGGGTTAAACCCTGGACAGGTCCCCCGTTTATCACCTGACTGAAATACAGAGACAAACAACCATTCACACCTATGGACAGTTAAGAGTCTCCAGTTAACCCAACTCCAGTCTGCATGTATTTGGGCTGTGAGAAGTGGATGAGGTACCTGGAGAAAACTCACACTGACACTGGAGGAACATGCAAACTCCAAACAGAAAGACAAGGCAGGATTTGAACCAGGAACCTTCTTGTTGATATATTTATAATGTGATCTAGGGATTTACTGTCGCAACCAGAAGATATACAGAACTAGCTATTCGCTTCTGACCAATCACAGTTGTATGAGGGAGGAGCTACTGGCAGATATGCGTGATTCTTAGGTGTGATAACACACAGAGCCTGACACAACCTCCGATGATGTAAGTGACGTCACATAAACCTTCATATACTCTCGGAAAGCATGACACAGGCTTAACAAACCATCTGGTGCGTTAGATTAAAAATGTTTTTTCGGAAAATTTTGACCTGGTGATAATGTGAGAGGTTGAATCAGGTTCACCAACAAAGAGACACATTTCCATACCAACCCATCCAACAGTTCAAAACCTCATGGTGGCGCTAGAAAAAATAAGGCAGGGTTCAGTATCAGTATCAGTAACAATAGAGTATAATTTTATCAATGGATGACTTAAGTCAGAAAATGATGTTGGGACCGTAAATGTTTGTAAAATTATCATCCAGATATTTCAATCTCGATCGGAGCAATGGAGCGACTGAGCGACATTGTCACCTATAGATCTATGCTGTGAGCGGGCTGAGTAACTAAGACTAAGCGTAAATCTGAACAAGTCTAGAATCACTAGATTTGAATAACATCTAGTTTAGTGAGAACACACTCAGAAACTGGGCTGATGTGGAGGAGGAAATAATAAAGTTATCAACATCTTGATAGCACCTGTTAAGCATGTGGTACAAGTACAGGCATATTTTATCTATTATACTGAGGGACTCACTGTCTGTATATACTTTTCTGTATATACTAATAAACCAATACATATTAATCCAACTGTGATATTCTCTTTTTCCTCGGCACCAGTAGATCATAAAATAAACCATCTTTGATTGGCAGATGTTATTTTCATGATGTCACGTCTGATTCCTGTTGGCTGAGATCATCTGTTTTTTAACTCTCGTTATTTCCTTCAGTCTCTGTGATCTAACGGTCTCGTTATCGGTCTCTTCGGCTGAAGACTGGAACCGACAGCTTACCTGTGTCTTTTATGCCAAGATCAAAAAGTACTCTGGAGGGTTTTACAGCTCGTCAATGTGCAGCAGGGGTCACTTACTTCCTGATCTGTCCCAGTTCACTGGGAAAGATTGCTGGACTCATGTCTTACCTTCGTTCAAGACTACAGGTAGTTAAAGTGTGTTTGGCAAATATTTGATTTCTTTTTTGTCTTTGGCCGAGACTTCAGGGTTTTCCATGTTTAGGCTGAAATGTATAACTTCATGTGGTTTAATCTGCTGCCTCTTGTGTGTGTTATAGCCTCTGAATTCAACAGTTACATCACCAGTCCTGAAGTAACGTTAAGACAGATTCATAGCTGATCTGCTCACTGTTCAGACTGCAGATACAGTACATCGGATGATACTTTACAGATGTACATGCATCTGCTCATGTAGATCTACACACCCAAATGTGGACATGCTTGCAGGAGTATATTGTACACACACACTCGCACAGGTCCGTGCTGCAGACAGACGTTTCATGGCCACTGATTTGAGTGATGACAGCAGCAGATTGCATCAGTGTTCAGGTCAGCAAGGTGAACACAAACACACGCACCCACTCACACAAAGCGAGAGAGCCGAGTGAACACACTCACACACGCACACACGCACAAACAAATCCCTCTCGATGCAGGACGGTGATGAATGCTGTTTAATCTGGTGGTCACAGCGTCCCAGGTGGGAGGGGTCAGACCCTCTTCTCAGGGCTATCTCTTACAGGCCAAAGGTTCAGCCTGATGCCATCACCAGATACAATGGCCGCTTTTATTTATTTACAAAGGAACTGCATTTACAGAAATAACGTCATGTTGAGTTTTAAGCATCTGAAATGAAGTGATGCACAAACATAATAAAACAAAGCCATGGATTAAGTACAATGAACTGAATTGACATAACATTCTTAGCAAAGAGGCAGCGGTATAAAACATATCATGCTCTTTATTTAAAGGAGTTAATATCTATCATTCATTACATTGGATTAAAGTTACAGCCTAATAAATGTTCTCTTACTGATCCCTTTTTTCTTTAACTGATGACTTTCTGGCTGCAGCTGTTTTTAGCTTCACTACCTGCTCCGTAAACACAGACAGTGGAGTATAAATGATATCATTCACTGCCTTCTTGTGTTGCAGTTATCATCATCCATTATGTTTGCTGACCTGTAATCCAGATCACACAAACTGTCTCTTTTTTTTGTAACTGCAGGTGGATCTCACAGAAAATCAATTATGATGTAACTTTTAAAAGCAGCTTCACTTAACACTGATTGGATGTTGCCTTCACTGCCCCGAGACATTTTCTTGTAGCTATAAATGACAGTTATCACCATTGACACCACATGGACCTTTTCATCTGCGAATCACTGTTTTGAAAATGACCACACAGACTAAAAAACTGCACAAACCCACTATAAAGAAGAATCTCATTATAATCCAATAGTGTTCAAACGTCCCGCACACACTCAACACTGCGCGTAAATGTCGCCTCTCCTCTCAAGTTGCTTCTGTCCCTTCTGATCCGGTCACACGTGTAAAATAAAGAGTCAACACACGACCCATCAGAGCAGACGTCACTCAGGTTTCACTTCACTGGACAATATGAGTATTTTTCTGTTTTTCCCTCCCTCTCTCTCTCCCTCCCTCCCTCTCCACGCTCTCCACTTGTGCCTCTCTGGACACAAGTGTTTGATTCGCTGTCTGGTCGTGCATGTTAATGAGAGGGGCGACAGCGGGCTGCTTTTAAAAGAGCTGCTGCTGCCTCTCTCCACACACACTCACACACACACACTCACAGAGGGAGAGAGAGAGAGAGTGATTGGAGATTCATCCAGGCGCTCAGGACGCACAGTTGCACAATCAGCGCTCCAACGGGACTCCAAACAGCAGAAGACCCTCAGAGCTCCTCCACTCCGGCTTCTCCCAACTCTCTCTGCAGGCGGATATCATCTGCTCTGCTGAAGCTGCTGTGTTTTGCATTTTTGTGCGCAGAGAGCGAACAAATCCATCTTTTCTTCGTCTTGACTTCTGAAGACATGCATCGGTGCACAGCGGTGCTACTTGTGTTAGTGGTGTCCTTGTACTTCCTGAGCGCAGAAGGTAAATTGCACCTTTTTATTGATCTGTTTTTTGTATTGATCTGAAGCTATGGGACCTCTGTGGAGAAGATGCAACTGAATAACAAACAATATGTTCGGTTTTTTCTCTGCGCAGGAATAAGTACAAAATAAAAAAAGTTTCCTCATGTCCAGCACAGGTTTGGAAAAACTTTAAGATGCGTTTGCTTCCATGTTGATGCCCACCTGATATATTTTCCTCCTAATCTGATCCCACAACACACAATCCAGGGCTTTGTTCGCCATGTTTTATCCTAAATGTCTCTAAAAAAAGATTGACAGCTTCTTGAAACTAGATTAGAGTGATTGATGCAGCTACAACCTCAGCATGAGCCTTCTGTGTCTTTGTCTGTGTCTGTCTGTGTGACTGGCAAGACAAGTGAAGCTGACCATATGTGGCTGAAATCTTTTAAAGCCAATATTCATGGAGCCATGTGGGAGGAGGAGCAGGAAAACTGAAGGAGACTAATGATATTTTCTCTCTAAATTACATTTTACATTTTGTTTCTGCAGCTGTCAGGTTTATGAAGAACTGTGTGTCTGTATATGGTTGAGGAGCAAAACTAGTATTTGTCAGCTCCTTGAGAAATATTTCACTAAAATATACAGTATCTTGGTGTGTTAGTGTATTTTTGGTTAGAACGATTTTCAACTTTTATTTGGACTAAAGTCAGATCGGTTAGGACGATTTTATTTCTCACCATAAAATCGTGATATGGGTTTAAAAAGTTATTGACTTGTGTCATCACATAGAAGGAAGAAAAAAGAAGTCATGAAGTGTTTGGATGTAGAGCAGACAACATCTCTTCTATCTAACTGTGTGTAGTGTTGCTGTTTTTCTCAATCACACAGCGGTTCTGTAGTTTTATTGTTGTCTAGTGTGTTTCTGGCACCATCGCTTGGCTTGTGACAGATTTAGAGGCACTCAGGACAGATAGGAGGTGATGGATGAAGGAAACCTTGAGCCAGGTCATCACCTCCCATCACAAATATACAACCCAGAAAAAAAAAACTAATTTCTCTGGCTTTATTCTGCAGCATGAAGTCAAATAAAAACAGCTGTAAAAATGATCCTGGGGAAGAGGTTTGATTGAAACACATAAAAGATACTTGAGGAGTGAGACATCATGTAACCTTATGACCTGCCTGCTTCCTGCTCTGTGATTATAATGGAGGAAATCTCTCCACAACAAATTCTTACATGAAAACAGGACGTGCAGGAGAAGTGGCTGCAGGAGAGTTAAAGCCACGGGTTTTCTCCGTCCAATGCAAATACAAAAAATGTTCATGAGTCATCAGAGCTGCTGCATTAAAGTCAGATCAGTTCATTCCGCAGATTTGCAGACAATAACTTCCAAAGAAGAAAAATACTTGTTACTTTTGCAGGGTAGCATTTCTACTTTTAAAACATGTTTATATGTGACTGCGTTTTGTTCGACATGGGAATCTGTAGCAGATGTAAGCCCTGGCTGCAGTAATCCTCCTCCTCAGTGTGTATCGTACAGATTAACTGGGGGTTTCATGATGAGGGAGAGCCAATTTTCTGTCAAATCACTAAGAATGAACTTTTCTATCAGTTCAGAGACAGTTCTGGAAGTAATTACGACACTAACTGTAATAATCTGCTCATGGTTCAGTTTCCAGACGCTCTGTTTTCCATTATATCACTGCTCCTTCTGCATCTCCAGAACTAGAACGAATACAGTGGGGTATAAGAGTCTGAGACAGGATTCCCAGTCATGTCACTGTTATGAGAAAATACAACAACTAAAAACGATATGATCACACCCATGTGCTTTGTCGACAGCCTACAAGTGCAGGTGCACCAGAAAAGGACCAAAGATCAGATATAAGGATGTACAGAAACTGGAGATCAAACCCAAACACCCGTACTGCCAAGAGAAGATGATATTGTGAGTCAGAGTTTTTTTATTTTCTCTTTCTTTTATTGTATTTTTCCCCATGTGTTTGTTCTCTCTCTCCACCTCGTCTTCTGGATCTCTTGACATTATCCTCCTCGGTTTGTCTCTGCTCCTTCAGCTTTTTTCATCTTTTCACATTCCTGCTTTTCTTCTTCTTCCCTCCCGTCTCTGTGTATTTGTCCCTGCTTGACACGCAGATATGCTGTTGTAACTGTAACACCATAGAAATATTTGGCAGCGGTATCATAACATCTTGTCATCTGTGCTTACTACACAACCGTGGATGTGGAGTGAGATGATGAAGTTGTGATTTAATTACACCACACAGCCTGGAGAGAGCATCTTCCCAGAGCTCTCCACTTTACATGGTGGTGAAAGGCTAAGCTTCATATTGTATGTATCATATCTGAGGTTACATTCACTGCATCTTCATTACACTAGAATAACACTATTCAATAAAAGCAGCACCAAAGTGCACACACTCATAGACATCAGTCCTCTTAATGTGTCTGACTTGTTGCATTAAGATCCATGATTTGTTGTAATGTCCAAAAACGCCTTATTTTACAATGTTAAAGAAAGATCTGTGCTATCATGTAATGGGTTCTTTCTTTTTGCATAATCTTGCTCAAAGCTCAACAAATGAACGAACAAATAAACAGACCTAACCTCTTTGCAGAGGTAAAAAAAATGGTAACGACGTACGTAAGTTCACCAATCATCCCAAAAGTGTATTTCTGTTTTTCTGATGGGTTGTTCCCCCCATTCTGAAGCCTCACTTCCAGGTTATAGTTTGATTTATGATCCATAGACTACACAGTTACTATCTGATTCTCTCACTCTGCCACTGTGACCCAAGAAATCACAGCCTGAGCGCACACACACCATCTGAGCTGTTAAATGCAGCAGGAGCGATTCTCCTGATAACGAACCCTCTGAGAGTTTCAAACAGATCTGAAGAAACCTGTGGCGCTCACACAGTCACTCCAATCCTAAACAAATAATCCTGCTCGTTACGTACACATTACAATTTACAGATTATACGTACAACTTTAAATCATTTGGGATCAGGTCTCCTCCAGGGCGAGAAACGAGAGATGTGATCTCTGCGTGGAATGAGTCTGAAGTTTCATGTCAAAGCTGCAGGAAAGAAAAAAAAAAAAAACGATGGTTTGTTATGTCACTGGAGTCAGTGTTGTTTGAGACTCACACTCTGCTGCCACCTGCTGGCCACTTACAACACAGCACGGAGAGGACACTGGGAGACGGCAACAGATTGTGTAGATGTGACGAGAAAAGATGAGTTAAGCAATTTTACTCAGCGACTGTTGGGTCCAGTTAATCTCATGTGAGGATTTTCTTATTGTTTCGATTTTATGCAACTCTCAGAATTAAAAGTTCAGTATAAGAGCATTAAAAAGATTAACAACACATGTTATTGTCTGTTTGTGTTATTCAGTGAATGTAGGAAATCCTTTGGTTTGGTCTGTGTTGACCCTCAGGTCTGTGGCGTATGTTACTGTTGGTGAAGGCCGCTCTATTAGCATGAGATGGGGCCACCAGCCGTTGGTGCCCAGTGAAAAATGAGCCTCGATGGGCTCCGGATAGCAAGAGAAAGAAAGAGAGCAGGAGAGAAACGAGTGAGAGGGTCCCCCCCACCCTGGCCTTTGTTGTGGCTGTTTGGCTTACGGCACCCAGTTTGGCATTCTGGTCAACCACCGCGGACCACAAACACACACAAGCTGAGAGCCACCAAACCTCCCTGTTTTCTCCTTTTTCCTCTTGTTTGGCCTTTAAACAGTCGTATTTCCACTTTATATTATTTTTCCTCTTAAATATAACTTTTCTTTTAATTCTTTTCAACCTTTATGTTTTGTTATTCATAGTTTTTTTGGATGGTGCTCTTTGTGTTTATCACTTACATTAATGTCTGGATCTCACCATCGCTCTTCCTTCGTCAGATGAGGAGGAAATCAGATCCTTCACTGGAGTGAAATAAGCTAAACTCCATTATAAGTTGACATTAGTAGTAAAACTCCTGATTATGAATACCTCATTTATAGTTAAATAACATTTTTAATGTTGTGGTTATTTTCCTCTTTCAGTTTAACAAAATAATCCTAATTTAGTAGATTCCTGTGAATCTAAATGTAAAAAAGCAACTTGCAGGTGCAGCTGTAAAATACATGTCGTAAAGTTTAAGAATCAATGCATCTCGTTACGTAGTGAGGAGCAGAAGTAGAAGTACACTCGACTACCATCTCTTCTTTTCTTTCTCTTTTTGCTCTCATTGTTTCTCATTCTCTCTCTGTGCTCATCAAACACGTTTCCAACCACAGGAGCTTTTAGAGCCAGTGGCTGCACTTCAGCTGCTCTCAGGTGAATGACAATGAGGAGGAACCGGAGCTCAGATTAACACAGTGGTTAAGATCGTGGATAAACATTACTTCGATGTTTATTACAGCCTCTCACATACGAGAGCGTTGGCGTGCATGCAGGCAACAAGCACTCTTATGCTCTCTCTATCAAACACTCACTCAAAGCTCCATTCCTCCATAACACAACATGTGGAGCTGCCTGATGAACCTCAGCAGCCAAACAAAGTGACGACTGAATGGGCAATAAAGTGCAAAACACTTTAATCTAATTCCTGTAGCCACTGAATGCAACATTTTTATTGCGAGTCGAGTCTTTTCTCCTCCAGTCAACTCACTGAACATTCATGCTCCTTCTGAGCCTTTGAGTGTGTCGCTGGAGGAAGAGGCCCCGCGGCACGGTGGCTGCTTTTTCCCACATTTCTCTTTATTTTTAGCCTGAATGCGCCACATGCAGGCGGACTGTCTCTACCGATGCCTTGAGCAGAGGGTTATAGACCGACCGACCAATTCAATGAGCTGAGATGTCACCTCCGAAATGTTGCTTCACTGCCAAGGAACTGGCCTCTGAGTTCAAGCTGATCTTTTGAAATCAGAGCATTTCACTTTAAATGTTAATGAGGCCGTTAAAGAATAACAGCTGAAACGTGGAGGAAAACATATGTCAACCATCATTCTGCAACCTGTCCGGTTTCTATTCAACTAGTCAGACTGACATTTTTACTCTATTCAGTTGGAGGCTTTTGGAGTTGATCTAAACCGTCTCTCAAACTATTAATGTCCGAACTTATTGTGCAGCCTGATCAAACTATTTTGCCCTCATGTGATTACGTGAAATGTTTTTCTATGTTTTCCATCATTCACCACTGCACCAACACACATACAGTGATAAACAAATGTAGCTGATTCTGGAAGCTACAGGGGCTGCATCTCTGCATGCATGATGATTTTATTCATTTCTTATTTGAAGAAAGCACAAATTGCCTTGCCTCTCTAGTCTGCTCCAGTACATCATGCTTCTTTCAATAAAGGTTTTGGTGAAATAATTTAGTAATAATGTTGGATTTTTGGGGGATTTAATCATCTCCTGTTTGTTCTGCTCTCCTCTCCAGCGTGACGATGGAGAACGTGGCTCGGTTCAAGGGGCAGGAGTATTGTCTTCATCCCAAACTTCAGAGCACCAAGAATCTGGTCAAATGGTTCCGCATCTGGAAGGACAAGCACAGGTGAAACATCTCAAACCTTCGGCACACACTCTGAGCATAGGTTCGTTTAGAGGCAAGTTTACGGGGCGTAATGTGACCCGGGGATTTACAACACCGACCATATGGATGCAACAAATTCAAGTTTTACTTTGTGGACTTCTTGCATTTTAGGATTTCGTACACAATTTCATTATTCAATAAAACTAGTTTTGAGACAATGTCCTGACAGGACAGGGGGAACTATTTATTTGCAAATGTGTTGTGAGCAAAATTGACCATCGTAATCAGTGATCCTCTCATGTACAAGTACTTTTATACATATTTAAGATTGTTTTGACTTTTCTAGTTGGCATATAACACTATCAATCAGCTGGTATACTGTACTGCAGACAGGGGGCAGCAGTGAGCCTGTTTGTCCACAGGTAATGTCTGCTGTCGCTGTATCACAGATCCAATCATCCAATTAATTCATTTTTGCCTCAAATTCAATTCAAGAAATGTTTCTCGAGACTAAAGGAAAACACCTGAAAGCTGCAGCAGATGATCTTAGAGGAAATGGTTTGAAATCACAGAAAACTCTTTTTGTTTCTTCCTCAGGGTGTACGAGGCTTAAAACGTTGGCAAACCCAGCACACGTGGATGGAGTGAGACTAAAAAAGACACCACCACCACCACCACCACCAGAACTGTTTTCATGAAGTACAGGATGTTAAAATGTACTTCTCCCTCTTCTGCCTGAGATCTGTCAAACGCACTAAGAGATATCTTTAGTTCATGTATACGCCGGTGGGCTCATTTTAGTCGGCCATCATCGTAGGTGCATTCACTCACCACTCCAGTCTCTCACAACTGTAGTTATACTTGTCGAATAGTGGACGAGATGCTGCCATCTGTGTTCAGACAGCTATAGGTTTGGTCAGATGTGATTTAAAGGGACTTCTCTTTTGCTTTCTAGGCTTCTTTCAAAACTGTAAGAAGAAGAATGTGTCCTTCTTAAGAAACGAGCGAACCTTCCTTTGACAGATGCAGCGTAGGTCTTTCTGTTGTTAAGATTTCCAGTTCTCTGTATTCAGTATGACAGGTTTAATATTCGAACAATGCCAACACTTAGGATCTGGTCAGCTGTGTTTAGAAGGTCGTAGTAGAGATGCAGCGATGAAGGTTCTCAATGAATCTGTGAAAGTGTAGAGCAGAGGCAGTGGTCACATATACACTAATACAGATGTTACTATTGTTCAGCCACATAGAGATCTATCACTGTGTGTGTGTGTTTATACGCTTCATACTCGTCACGTGTCAAACAAACAGTCCACTCGGCAGCACACATGTTCCACTAAACAGGTTTACTTTCAGTAGATAGTGAAAACACAAATAGTTCATATGTGCCATTCCCACATAAATTACAGTCTGTGGATTAAAGTAAAAAATAAACTAAATGATTATTATATAACACGAAGAAATGGAGACAGTTTACATCAACAAAAGAAGATCTGCTTCATCTTTTCTAGTTTTTTCTTTAGCTCCATCTGTTCAAACAAATGTGCAACTGAGCAATATCTCCCACAAACTGCCTATGTAAGCATGAAACTATGGCAACATCCCTGAAGGGTAACACGTGATATTCCAGTCTATTTCTTATTGTCAGCTACAGTATCCCGTGAAAACATCCAAGTAAACAAAGTTTACATAATATCAGTGTCTAAATTCTCTAATCTGTTAGAGACACTTTGGCCGAAGCTCATTTATTCCTACAGATGATGTAAATCTTTAAAAACTCTCCTGGTTCAAGCTTAAATTCTGTCCAGTCACTGGCTTTAAATATTAAATAACTTCCTACTACAAGTGAAGCTTTCAATCAGTTTAACTGTGGATTTTACACATATTTGGTTTTGGTTATTTATGGCTGCACAATGAAGTCTCCAAATAAATCCCAGTGGAAGTCTATGACACAGACAAATGATATCAGGCTTTGGATATATGGACATTACTTGCTGTTTGGGTTGATTCACTGTTATTGATGTTTTTTTCATTTGATTTTTGTAGACAATAATAAAAATACAGAATATTATTCATCCTAAACTTTCAAAGTGGCTATAGGTTGTGTTTTTATCTTATTAACATTGTTGTGAACATTTTATTTGAGCTCAGAAAAAGGACAATTTGATATAATGTGTAAGCTGTGGATACACTTTGTAAAAAAGACAGTTGGGTTTAGTTTTGTTGCCACCAAACAGAATTCACACACAAGTATATCTGCATGTATACAAAATAAACCCCATCACATGTTCTTTACCCTTTGAAG